CATTAAGAAAAATAAACAACAGATATATATAGTAGCCAAATAAAATCACCAGGATCCAAAACAATTTATCAAAATTATGCAAAATGATCAAATAACTATGCAACAAAATGCAAGGTCTCACTTCCTCACCGTGATTTTCAACATTTTAAATTCCTAGTCAATTTTATTCCTAAGGTCTCATAAACCTAGGCTCTGTGGGTCATAGGCACAACCTAGGCTCCGAAAGGTTCGAACTGCTCTGATACCAACCTGTAACATACCCATTTTCCAAAACCAGAATCTGAGAAAATTTTAATTTTTTTTCCTTTTATTTAATTACAACACATTGTTCAAATTGCGGAAGCTAAAACAAAACGAGAGAATAGGGGATGCTACCGCCACGTTTAGGAATTTCTCTTTCACCCAAACGCTAAGGCTAAAAACAGTTAATTAACTAAAACAACTCATAATTATGAACTAGTACATCAACAACTAACAATTCAACTGTCTAACTAATAAATGATATCTCTAGGTGGTTCTCTCATTCTCATGCCCAGTGCTCATGCCAGAGTTCCTGCAACAACAATTAAAGAATAGAAAACAAGGAAACACACAAATTCAGCATTAAGCTTGTAAGATCTACTTCACCCCGTAAAACATTTTGCACATAGCATGTAACACATAGGAGAAGATATCTTGCATCTAGAATGACCCCTTAAATATTTTTATTCTCATCAATAATACCAAATCAATATTTCTCACAATAGGAATTTCAAGAACCTTTCAAACGTAATTTATTTTTCTCCAACATAGAGGAACACCAATTTCAACATAATGGGCAGGGTCTTGTTTCATCAAGCCCTAGTGAACAGTAATCACCATACTGAACACTACACAAAATCCCATTCAATCTCAAATAATGGGTAGGCTCTTAATTATTTAAGCCCTAGTGAACAGTAATAACTTTACTGAACACTACGCAGAAATCCCATTTAAACCAACAAAATATTGGGCAGGGTCTTATTCAATAAGCCCTAGTGAACAGTGCTCACTCTACTGAACACTATGCAAAAATCCCATTTAAGTGGAACAGAACTAATACCTTAAGTGTGCACACCGCCAATGGGTTTCCAAGCCCAATAGGTACTAACTAGTCCTAGTAGCCAGGATACGTTTCTATTGACTACTACTCAACAGGGTAAATACCCTAGTGGTAGACTCCGCTAACCACTCCTCAAAATACAACAGGACTAAAAGTCCTAGTGAGACAGGATATGTTTTCACTGCTCACTCCTCAAAACAATAGAGAGTTTTTAAGCTCCCTAGTGAGTCGGTATATTCAACCGCTCACTCCACAACAAACTGGGTCATAACCCAAGTATCCAGAATTCACAACAGGATACTACACAAGTCAACAAAACCTTTTTATACTCTGTATTTATAAAAATGATAACACTAGTGATATTTCTCAACCAAGCAACTTCTCAATATCTCAAATAAGAAACTGACAAAAATTTTCAGAAACTATGACCAGAATTGCAGAATTTACTGAGAAAAATCGGTAACAAATTTTCATATGAAATTCTCTAGATAAGTAGTACAAAGAGACTAGACTACACAAAAAAAGTTTCAAGCTAAGCCAAGGCCTAGAAGTATTTTTCCCGAAATATTTCCCAACACAATGCCAGACTATAATTTAACTGGCAGAACACTGCCTCAACTTTACGAAATTATTCTGGAAAACCCTAAACATATTTTTAATCAAAACATTTTACAAACATCAATTACATCAAGTCTAGATTCTCCAGAAAACTTTTCAAGCAAAAATAAGTTTAGTAAGCATTTTTCACGAATTTTTATTTCCAGATGCGCCAGTCAGAATTTTCTCAGGCAATGATCAAATTGTGTAAAATTTATCCTTCTTAATCACCATATCACATATGCAGGGTTTTCAAAACATCTAAACACATATATCTATTCGCATAATATAATCAAATAACTTTTCACGTTAAATATCACATATTCATTAAAATCATGAATCACATAAACACATAGGAAAAGTGATTTTTGATTTGGGGCAAAGAAATTTTAGTGAACATAAATCTTACCTGGATTCTAAAATCAACACAACGCTTGAATTCCTACGGTGAACAGAGAAGAGAAGACCAATTGCTGATCGAAAAAGATGGCTAAGTATATTTTTTTTTCCTTTCGTTCGGCGTGTATTGTGACATAGGAGAGGATGAGAATGATATCCATTAGGAGTAGGGAAAATAATGAGGAATTATATATTAGAGTTAGTACTGTAGTAGGATAAGGAATTAATAAATGCTGCTAAAATTACGTCGAGTATATTTTTGAAATATATAAATAAATATATATTTATATATTCATAGACGTCATATATATTCATACGTACTTATATATATTTGCATATATAAATTTAAATAGGAAGACAATGTATATATATTTGGATTAGGAAAATATATATAAATTTAAATTATTATTATCATTAGGAAAAAATATATAGGTGTACATATTATATTAGAATTAAGAAGTTATTAGACTCAAAGAATAATATTTCTAAGATAATACGGATTAGGAAACTGAAAATAATTTAGTCATGGTCCTCGTACAGTGCCCACAAAATATGGGGTATCACACTCTACCCTCCTTAAAAGATGCTTCGTCCCCGAAGCTTAACCATATAAAAATACAGGGTATTGCATCGTTGGGCTGTGATCCGTTCCTTGATTGAGTATGTTTCATACCTTCATTGTAATCCGTTGTTTGACTCTTGTTGAGTTGTGGTGCGTGTGTGGCTATACCAGGATTGCACAATTAGTGGTATGGGACACTAGTCACCAAGGTATTGCAGCGGTCCTCGTGGTGGCCGCGACGTGATTATGGAGTTGTGGCCTGAGTGATGGGTCCACGTTTATGGGGGATGAAATGTGTTATCCGGGCATGTGTTGCCGTGATTGGTGGTTTTCGTTGGTGGTTGTTGGTGGGGGACGACGGTCCTGGGGGAATAAGGTTGGACTAAGAAGTACAGGGGTCCTGGAGGTAATGGTTGGAAAGAAGGTACAAGGTTGGGGGTAGCCATAAGGTTGGAACAGGGCATAAGGAAGGCATACCAACTCCTGATGGATGATGTTGCGAGGGCTTGTAAAGCCGGCGTTGTGTGATCTTCTCTCGTGACGTGTGTAGTCACGGAGGCTTGTGTCGTGTTGGCATGTGTTGCCGTTGGGTGAGTTTTTATCCTTGCGTGTGGTTAACCTTTGTGGTTTGGGATGTGTTCACGAGTTATCCTTGTGAGTTATGAGTCTTGTGTTGACAGTTGATCTTGGTTTTGACTTATATATATGTATTCCGTTTCGAAAATGGTTTTTATGACTTATATCTATCTATTTATGATACTTAATGGTATTGGTGGGTTACCAGCATTATTCGCTGACCGGGCGTCGTCCCAATGTTTATCTTTGTATCTTTCAGGTGATGTTTAGACGAGCACGATGTCTAGAGCCTGGTAGCTTAGCACCTTTATCCTTGCTTTTGTGGCCTGTGCGCCGATGTAGTTAGACAGATGTTTGGGATAGATGTACACACTTGCAGATTGTTTGCCGTAGCGTTTACCGTGTTTGGTAGACGTGGCGTGACACCCCGTTGGATTTCTTTTTATCCAGTTTCGTTTTTATCTTCCGCTGTGCTAGTTTTGTCGCTTAATCTTCATGTGTTAAGGCTTTTATATAGGTCTTGTTTGGGGGTGTTACAACGTGAACCTGACACACAGTTCACAACTCCATAATCACGTCATGGCCACCACGAGGACCACTGCAATACCTTGGTGACTAGTGTCTCATACCACTAATCGTGCAATCTAGGTAAAGCCACACACGCACCACACCACAACATGAATCATTCAACGGTTCACAGCGAAGATATTAAACCATACTCTATTAATGAATGGATCACAGTCCAACAACAACGATGAATAACACAAGTTATAATCAATAATAGGAAGGTACAAGCAACGCACACGCTAGCATTAAAACACCGAACTAGCATGCTTATCAAACGGGTAAACCAAACGTAGTTCTGAAGAACACACAAGACTCACCATAGTTCAACGAATCACAATGTTGAACACTTAGCACGATTCAAGACACCGAAACCTACATGGATCCCTACCATATAGTTCTAGACATACGAAACATCAAGAAGACGCTCAAATAGTTCCACAAAAGAACATCGGGAAGTCAAAAGACCAATTACCGAGTCAAAAGAATCACGGAGAACAAATCCCGAATACACACCAAGGTGTACCCCGCGGGTGGACCCATATATGGGTACATACCCACCCGCTTCTTGTATACCGCGGGTGGGCGGCGGGTTGGACCTCTACCCGTCGTTTCGCCCGCGGGTACGTATACCTGCACAAATAATCCCTTCGGGGATTTTCAACTCCAAGCTCAAATTCAAGTCCAAAACATGCCAAATATCACCAAATACAACAAAATGACTTGAATCAAAGGAATAGCCAAGCAATGGCATAAATGAACCCTAATAAAGAGCTCGAGTATTGCATTTTCACAAGACAATGCATAAACACTCATATTTCATAGCAAAATCACATGTAAAATCCAAGAAATCATCACATAGGTAAGAAAAATAGATTTTGTAGAGCATGGGTTACATCATTCGCTTATCCAACAAAAACCAACGCCAACATTGGCTCAACTCATAAAACCAAGCTACCGGGAACCTGTGAATCCAACCGATCCTCGACTATTAACAAAAGCACAAATAAAACTAATTATGCTCATAAAGGGATTTAAACTCTAATTCAACCCTAAATTACCCACAAGTCTAACCAATCTAGCTAGCCATCCAATTATTAATTAATCACAACACTAATATACTAATAGGCAAGCTAATAGCAAAGATTAATAGATAGAACTTACTACTTAAAATTAAATAGTAAAATAAATTTAATACCTTGAGTAGGAATTATACCCTAGCCAAACACAACCACAACCACCACCCTTACCACTAAGCTAGTAACTCAATTAATAATATAACTAAACAACAATTAACTAATACCATCCTAAACAGCAACACACAACATAGCAGAAGCTTACCATCAACACTGCCTTCTTTTTCAAGCATCTATGTCGCGGGTGGAACACGGGTACATCACCACCCATCCAACTACCCGCGGGTACACCGGAGCCACCACGTCCCCGGAGGAGCTACCACGCCGGGAACGGAGGAGAGACGCCATCACCGAGCTCCGTCGATGCCTCCGATGCCATGCAACACCACTGCCACGAGCGTCCCACTACTGCCGTTTCTGTTGCTTTGGAAATCAAAAGCAGAGGAGAAGCTCTATATGTTGTCCACGTTGTCGCCTCCTGCTCAACCACCTCCGCTAGACGAACGCCGAGAATGGCCGTCGGAGCAGTCGCTATTCTGCAGGTCGCGACTTGTTGCTGCCGAAGCTTACACATCTGTTGCTGCCTCGCCGGAAGGAGAGAAGAGAGATACAGGGGAAGGTTTGGGGTGAGGTTCTCACCTCTGTAACCGGGAAGCCGAACGAGAGAGAGACACGAGAGAGAAGTGGGTATAGTCGGCTTCTTAGCGAAGAAGATGAAGAGGGGGTGTTTGGTTTCCAAGGTTTGAAGATCACGGCTGATTGAAGTTGGGAGAGGGATGATATGATATATACATAATTACTATAGAGTGTAGGGTTACCCAATGATTGGGTTGGGCTAAAAGAGGAAGGTTGGACTCATCTTATGGCCATAATTAGAAAGTAGGCTTATTATTTATGCTTGGATGGTTGGGCTCAAGACTACAACATATATATATCTATTTATAAATTTCGTGCTTATAAGTAGGCTTAGGTAATAAAATTATCTTTGGACTCTAAGGCATTTGGATACAAAAAGTACCAGTTCACAATACTAAATAGACCCGAGCCCATTTCTAAATAAATAGCTATATAAATATTTTTATTAAAATATTTAATATCGGGACGATAATTTATTTTATAAAAATACGGGGTGTTACAGGGACGACGGTCCTCAGAGGCATAAGGTTGGACTTTGGAGTACAGGGGTCCTAGAGGTAATGTGTGACACCCCGTAAGTTTAAATTCTAATTGGGATTAATTAAGGAATTAATCCTAGCCTTCCTTGATAACTTCTTCCTAAAATCCTGAAATTTCGTAGTCGAAGGACTAGAAATTGACTAGTATTCTTGTGTACCTTGTGCTTTAGGTGTTGTACCTCAATCCCTTATTCATCCAAACCTTAGTAAGGGTAACTTGGTCTTTTCACTAGTGAGAGGTGCTCATTTTGCCCTAGCAAGACCTTTGTCTTCATTCCATGCTAGCCAAAGTTCTAAAAACTCTCCAACCTCTCTCTAAAAGAATCTTAGCTTGCTCTCCAAGCCAAAAAGGGAACTTCCAAGCTTTGCATAGTCTTCCACCAAGATTCCAACTTTCTAACACTACAAGGCTAGCAATGGTAAGATCTATCCTTCCAAACCTTTTCCTTACAAGATTCCCCCATCTTTTCTATAAATCTTTCTTCTACCTTGTGGGTTTTGGGAGTTTGTAGAAGATCAAGTGGTGGGTGAAGTGCTAGGTTGATCTAGAGGAGCTTTAGTCTTGCTTTAAGGTTGAAGAAGGTGTTCTTGGTCTACAAGAGGTAACTCATGCTTCACAAAACCTATTTTCACTTGATAATAATGATTATTGGCTTCTATGTGAAATTCTTGATGTGTTTGAGTGATTGATGCATGATCTTGTGATAATGCATTTTTAGAGCTTGTGTTTAGGGTTCTTGGATGCTATTTTATGAGTTATTCATAGGTTCAATTCATATCTTTGTTGTGTGGAAGATTTGGGGTCATTTGGACTTGAACTTGGCCTAAAAAATGATTTTTCGCGAATGATGATTATTGGGTGCAGGACGTACCCGCGGGTAGAGCCCTACCCGTGGCCCTACCCGCGGGGAACATGTTTGAGAAGTGGTTTGGGGTTGTTTTCCCACACTTTCGCCCATTCGTGTGTGATTCTTTGGCCACCGTTTGATTGGATTGTTGAGCTTTTGTGTGTTTCCTTGTTGTTACGTATGTCTAGAGCGATGTCTTAAGTATCCATGTTAGGATTTGGTGTCTTGAATCGTGCTTATGATCCAACCTTGTGATCCGTTGGATTGATGTTGAGTCTTTGTGGTTCATTGGAACTATTTTGGTTTACCCGTTTGATATGCGTGCTAGTTTGATGTTGTAATGCTAGTGTGTGGGGTTTGTTCTTTCCTATTGAGGTTGGCAACTTGTGTTGACCATCGTTGGTGTCGGATTGTAATCCTTCCTTGTTGAGTATGGTTTCATATCTTCGTTGTGATCCGTTGATTGATTCCTATGATGGTGTTGTGTGTCTGGCTGTACCTTTATTGCACGGTTAATGGTATGGGACATTAATCACCAAGGTACAGATGTGGTCCTGGTGGTGGCCATGGATTGGTGTGATGAGATGTTTGAGCTGGTAAAGTGGACAGTGTGGGGACTTATGTGTGAACGGACCGGTAGTGTAACTCCAGATGGCTGTTGGATACTTTACTTGTGGGAAACATGGGAAACTTATCCCCATTGCCAGAGATGGTAGCTAACCCGTTGAGCTTGGAATCTCAATAGGGGGTGTATACACTTAAAGTTGCTAGCTCTGTTTCCATTGGACTGAGGTCCTTGTCATTGCGATGACACTTGCATGTGATCCGTGTCGTTGCGATGACCACGTGAAGCATGATTGTTGAAGATTTGGAGCCCTCCACACTGATCCTCTATGAATTGAGCCATGGTGCTGACTCTATGGTATATGACTTAGTGTGATAGTGTCCTATGTGGACTTGGAACTCGTTATGGTATGAATCTGGCCTTCCATTGCTTAAGAGCATGTCTATTGTAAGTCCTTCGTTGTGTGTCGTATGTTGTACCTTGTTTTTGAGCTTGTTGCTTGTGGTTCTGTTGTCTTGTTGAGTACGTTGGTCTTTGACCTTTGTTATGAGTGATTGATGAGTCTATTGATGTCTCCTCTCTCGGCTTTAAATGATATATACTGTATTCCCAGTTCCAAATGGTTTTGATTATATCTATGTATATTATGATACTTAACACGTGTTGGTGGGTTACCAGCATTATTCGCTGACTGGTTGTTATCCCTATCTTTATGCTGTTTTTACAGGTTGTGAGTAGCTTCTTGGATAGCGCGCTAGCTGACCGTTAGATAGTGTAGCTCTTTATGGTTTTCCTAGTTAGACTTGTGGCCTGTGTGACTTGATCTTATGAGTAGGCTAATGACGTTTTGATTAGACGTAGCCTGTGCACCTGTAGATATGTAGGTGTGGCATAACATCTTCCGATTTTGTTTAGTTAGCTTTCGCCTTGTTTAATCTCAATGAGTAGACTTTATCTCTTTTCTAAGCTTTAATTGGTTTTATAAGTTGTTGAAAATTGGGGGTGTTACATAATTGTAGGAACTGTAATAAGATCGGGGGTAGCCATAAGGTTGGAACAGGGCATAAGGTTGTAACTTGTGACATGAAGTGTCACGGTGGCATGTAGTTGCCAATGTGTGTATGTCTATTATTTTCTATTGAGCATGTCGAGTGGTATTCTACTTTATGATCAGTTGTACTTGTTTACTGTTGTTGTCCTTATCTTGATGTTTTCTACTTTGTGATCAGTACAGTGCACCTTGAAATGTGTTAAGTTGTACTGTTGTTGTTCTTGTCTTGATGTTATCTTGGCATGATGATTTCCCTTGTCCTTTTTTAGAGTGAAATAGATTCTTTGCAGTTGACTTCTCTCTATGACTTTTGAACTGATATATACTGTATTCCGTTTCGAAAATGGTTTTGATTTATGCTATCTATTAATGCTACTTAACGCGTACTGATGGGTTAGCAGCAATATTCGCTGACCGGGCGTCGTCCCCTTTCTTTATGATGCTTTACAAGTCCTAAGTAGATATGGCGAGCGCGTTAGCTGTTGGTTGTAGTGTATTTTCCCTACCTATGTAGATAGTGTTTTGGGCCTGTGTGCCGTGGTTATGTTGAACAAGATAGATTGTTGGTTTTAGACTTGCCTGTGCATCCACATTGAGGTGGATGTGGCATAACACTTCCCGGTTTTCCCTTTTAAAATGTAAGACTTTTGCTATTGCTTACGTTTTATAATACCTATTAGTTACTTTGCCTTACGTAATTAAGTTTTTAAAATGTGATAAAAATCGGCGGTGTTACATTTGGTGTCTTGAATCGTGCTAAGTGTCCAACTTTGTGATTCGTTGGACTATGACGAGTATTGTATGTTCTATGGAACTATGTTTGGTTTGCCCGTTTGATAAGCATGCTAGTTTGACATTGAAATGCTAGTGTGTGCGGTTTGTTCTTTCCAATTTAGGTTGGAAACTTGTGTTGACCATCGTTGGTGTCGGATTGTAATCCTTTCTTGTTGAGTATGGTTTCATATCTTTGTTGTTTTCGATTGATTGATTCCTGTGATAAAAACGTGTGTACTTGTGGTACCTTGATTGCACGATTAAGGTTTATGGGGCCTTAATCTCTAAGGTACCAATGTGGTCTTCGTGTGGCCATGATTGAGATTGGTGGTTTGTTATTTGAGCTTTGCTCATGAGATTGGCGGTTGTGTGTTATGATATTGAATGGTACCCTCGTGTACTGAGAGTTCATTGGAAATTTTGACAGTTCTTGGCGGGGGAATGACGGTTCCCGGAGGCATAAGGTTGGACTCGGACGTACAGGGTGGCACTAGGAGGTAAAGGTTGGAACTGTAATAAGGCCGGGGGTAGCCATAAGGTTGGAACACGGAATTGTGTTCTTGTGACATGTAGTTGTCACTGTGGCATGTAGTTGCAATGTGTGTAAGTGTTTCTTTGCTATGAGCATGTCTCGATGTATTCTACTTTGTGATCAGTATAATACATCTCGAGTTTTATTGTTTATTGTTGGTATCCTTGTGTTGTTGTTGTTGTGGGATGTTGATTTCCCTTGTTCCTTTGAGAGTG